AGCGCATGCCACTTTAGAGTTGCCTGTGCCATTTATTCAGCATGCGGGCCACTAGACAAATGCTGTATTAGCAGTGCATGCCCTTTATACAGTTGTATAAATGTCGCGCGCTGTTTATAAGCATTCATCTAGTGGCCCATATGCTGTAGAAACAGCGCGCACCATTTATACAGCTGTATAAAAGGCGCGCGCCAATTATAAAGCATATAGGGCACTATAAATGCTGTAAAAACGGCGCGCCCCCTGTATACAGCTGTATAAATGGTGTGCGCCAATTATAAAGCATATGGGCCACTATAAATGCTGTAAAAACGGCGTGCCCCCTTTATACAGCTGTAAAAACGGCGCGCCCCCTTTATACAGCTGTATAAATGGCGTGTGGTGTTTATTTTTCACCCGTTTTTCAAAAAACGGGTGATTCACCCGCATATGACGGCTGAATCTCTCTTAGCCTTAACAAAGCAGGCGTTTGGAGAAAACGGGTGCTCAGCACATTCACCCATACAAACACCCATCTGCCAAAACGGGTGGTTCTACTGGTGATCACCCATTTTTTTTCGACCCAGTACCCGTTTCCCAAAACGGGTGGCTGCTACCCGCGTATGACGGGTCTTTGACGGGTAAATAATTTGAGTAATAATACTGGTAAATTATTTGCTGGGTGTGTGTGTGTGTGTGATATTCAGTGTATAATGAATGACTAATTGCCAGCAGCAGCAGGAGAACCCACAAATGGCCACCACCAGCAGCCACACGCCAACAAACGACGACGACGACGAGGTCTAATAAAATGCATTCCTTTCCTAGCTCTTCCTCCTGTCGATGGTCGTCGTCCTGACGCGGAATACAGTGTCAAGATCAGCCATATTCATGCGCTGTTTAATACCTAGTTATTAAATGTTCTTGGGTTCTGTGCGAGATGCGATTATGCAAGGGTTAGTTCAAAAGTCACGACACTCGTTCAAATAATAATATTATGTAAAATATAAACAATCTCAGTCCAAATTAATTCCCATCACTAAAACGCAACATTTTATTTCCCTGAACAAATAATGAAGCACAATGAAGATCACCACAGAAAAGCCCCAAATATCCTCTGGTTCCAATTTTATTTTATTTTTTTTCACAGTTTACTATTCATGCCACCAGCCACAACCATGGTTTCCCCAGTCACGTAGGACGCATCCTTGGAGCACAAAAATGACACCGTCCCCGCAATTTCATCCGTCTCTCCAAAACGTCGCATTGGGACCGTTGTCAGCAAAGCATCAGACAGTCCTTCTGTATCTGTCAACTGATCGATTGAATAATGACGCATATTTAATACACAGTATGTCTGATATGAAATGTTAAGTTTATTCTGACCAAACACTTGCCCCAGAACCTTGTTGTTGCTCTGTTCATCAGATTCTATGCTTTGTGAAACAGAATAAAAAACACTTGTTTAATTCTGTTGGAGTATTTCTTGATTCTTCAAAAGTACGCGGAAAACAATTCAAATCTTCAACACTGGTAGTATTCAGATTTGGGATAGATTTGTCTGATCAACAACTCTGAAAATTTGATTTAATTGCTGGATAAGACAACACATTATATTTTGTGTCAAGAGCAAAAAGGGGGTTTCCCAAAGTTTTGCTTCAGGTTGAGCTCAACATTAATATATCCATGAGTGTACTACGTCCTTAAAAGGTTTCTTTCGAGAGTGAAAATATTTTAAAAAGTGACTTCCTTACAAAGTACGTTGTTGTTGATTGTATCAAAGATTATTCTATTTAAGTCTTTACAAAAATTCAAAATATTTTCAGAGTATTGGGATTTTAGTGCCACAAAGAAGACCCTGTCCTGCATAAAAAATGAACCAAAATTGAAGAAACTAGGGCTTTTTTCTGAGGATATCATTGAGTTATTACTGGAAATCAAATGCCAATAACCCAGCATCTTGTATTTCTGAATTTACATTGTAAAAAAATATTTTTATGGTTTCATGACACTTTCTTTGATGGACAGTTTTATAAACAAGGTAAGAGCTTTCATGGAGACATTTCTTCATGACAATGAACCTAATTTAAAGCTGAAACTTGAACAAATTTTGCTCTTGAGTCTTGGTATAAAATGTATAAAAAGTCAAGATATTCTGTTTTCTTAAATAAACTGAAATACAGTACAGTATAAAAGCAGTAAATTTGAGTTGTACATTATCTTTTCAGTTTACAGACTCATTTTGTGAAACAAACACTTTGTTTAACCCTCAACTAAACCTTCCTCTCATAGATTCCATACCCTAAATTAATTTCCATGACAATTGATGGCTCCAAAATCAACGTTTGACTGCATTTTGGCAAATAAAAACTCATTTTGACACACAGTTTTTCACCACTCACAGCAGAACTGAATTTGGTGCGTACAACACCCGGGGCAACAGCATTCACACGGATATTATCATTTGCCAATTCATGCGCAAATGCTTTCACCAGGCCAAGAAGTGCTGTTTTGCTCACTGAATACGGTCCCAACATCTGTGGAAAAAAAGGAATATTGTATACAGAAAATTAGAAATGGAAAAATTTTGAGAAAAGATTCGAGGCTGAGGAATATTACAAGGATTTTCCTTAAAAAATATATAATATGGCATACCCTTTAAAAACTCATCAATGCTAATTTTTTTAAAAACAAAAAATTCATATCAAGTGCTGATTTAAAAGTTCTCAATGACCTTCCAGGGAAAAAAAAGGCTCGAAAAAAAAAAACTGTCGATTGATTGACACACGCACTGGCATCGGAGTGTAGCCCGCGATGGAAGTGACAAACACGATGGCACCCGAGCCTCGCTTGATCATGTGCGGCACCACTTCCCTCGTCAGCAGCCAGCTGGCCTTGACATTCACGTCGAAAATCTTGTTCCACGAGTCCTCGGGGCAGTCCATCATGTTGCCGAAAAACGGGTTGACGGCGGCGTTGGACACGAGGATGTCGATGCCGCCAAACTGGTCCACGGCGGCCTGGACCATGTTCCGGCGCTGCTCGTCGTGGCCCACGTGACACCGACACCCGAGGGCGGTGACCCCCAGACGTTTCAGCTCCTCCACTGCTTTGTCCACGTTGGACCGTTTGCGCGAGCTGATGACGACTTTGGCGCCGTCTTTGCCCAGGCGCTTGGCGATTGCCAATCCGATTCTGCAAAAAAAATAGAAAGAGAACAATCAAGCATGGAAAGTGTCTCAAGAGTCGAATTTTTTTTCCTGGTGAGCCTGAAATGAGGTGATATATAGAAATAAAAAGAGGGAAAATGCATTGATAGCTCAAGATACATTAATCTGGTGAGTGGATTTAAAATTTCATATGAATTGTTCAGCACAAGACAAATTCATGAATATTCATACAAGGAAAGAAATAGAGTAGGACCCCCAAATACAGATGCTCAGACTTGGGGAACATGTGAAACTCTGAAAATCTGGCCTGACATCCACAAAATGTCTCAATATACTGACACTTAGCCAAAATTTCTAAAAAAAATTTCAATTTTTCACATGCTGAACCTCTTGAACAAACTCAAGTATTTATGTTCATACAAACTCAAAATAAATCTCATCATAATTCTCACTTAATTAATCCAGAACAGGCTAATTTTGTGCTTCTCTCTCTAGAATTTTTTCCATCATCTGTGCACATCATGGTAAGACTTGTGCTTGTTTTATTTTTTGGGCATGCAAAAAAGGGTTTCTTCTGTGAAGTAATTTTCTGTGCACTGAAGATGAGATAAAAGTGCTCCTTAAATTTCAGTGGAACTTTTTCTTAGTTTTTGACAATTAGGACAATCACTTAAATATGTATTCTAATTGATGTCTTTGAGAAAACATGATCCAATATCAGGGACAAGGTCCAAGGAACCAATCACATTCACGACACAGGGCTTACATGGTATTTAAACAATCCACCTTCAACTTTTACAGTCCGCTGAGACATTTTCAAACACGCAAGTTTTCTGAAAATATTTTCTCTTGTTCAAAAAAAAGTTCTGACACCTATTTTTAGGTTCAATTGGTGGATTGATAAAAAGCGGGACCAAATGTTTATCTCCCAATGCAAGACATTCTCAAATAAGAAAAAAATAACCCAAGCACTTCATGATGTTTTTGTAACAGTCAAACTTACTTCAGGAATTTACTCCACTAACTAAAATTAAATACACATGAATACCATATTTACCCAAGTACCTTGCAAACCTTCTTTTCTCAAGTTTGACAGGACAAAATGATGGAGCATGTCATAGGGCACTACTGTAAACATTTTGCAAAATTCTTTGAAAATTTTGATGTGAATTACAGTAATCCTTATTATTAGAATGGAAAGAATTGAAAATTTCTTCAGTTTCAATTCATGCCAAATTTCAAATTTGATATCCAAAAGTCCTTCTTCTTTGAAAAATTGTGATTTCAGTCACTAAAATTGGAGTGTGCATCTTACTCAGGGATGCAATTCCATAAAAATGTTCATCTAAAAACCCTGAGCACACACCTTACTCAAGTAAATGCAATAGATAAAAACAAATGCAAATGATTTTCCAACATCATTAAAAAAAAAACACTAACCCTTCAGTTGAAGCAGTGACAATGGCCACTTTCCCAGCCAACGTTCCAACAGACATCTTTGATCACAAAAATAGCACCTGTGCAACACAAGAAAAGCATCATCTCTTTGTTTTCTCTCTCGCAAATTAAAACGATTTGTTCACGCGTCTGAAATCCCTCTTACAACCGATTCCAGCATTTTTCTTTTTTTTTCAAATGCAATAGAATCTCGTTTCACGGAAATAATGTCTACACTGAATTTATTCTTCAAATTTTGGTCCCCGTCCGATAACCATAAAGTTATTTCAACTCCATTTCAACAAATTTTGGTTTATCACAAAGGTTTTTTTTCAAGGTCCCAAATGCTTTGGCGTAACAAGATTCTACTGCCCACCTTGATTGGGCCAGGGAAGAAGCGTCAGGACATACAAGAACGTCCCAACTTTGTACATCATGACTTTTCTGATTTATGTACCCATTGAAGTTCTCTTTCAGAGGAACCAGTGTTCAAATGATGTTCTAACAGTGTTCAATGATGTTCGAACAGTGTTCAGATGATGTTCAAACAATGTTGAACAATGTTTGAATTATGAACGAATGATTAAACAATGAACAGACAATGATGAAACCATGATGAAACAGTGATTAAATGATGTCAGGGAATCATCAGCTCAAGTAACCAAACCGCACAAAATTGCACAAAGAGATACAAAACGCAACTCAAAATTCGCAAAACATTTTTGACATCACCAAAACAAAACAAAAAGGAGTATCAAACACGGTTCACACTGCAATAATGACTTCTCCACAACTGATCCTCGCGTGAATATTGTGCGATCCGACCTGACCTTCCAAAACAGTAGCACGTCTGAACGCTTCGCGAATTTCCACGGGTGTCAGAGGATCCTTAAATCCCGCACAAGGAGGAACTTCGAAGCCCTGCAAAAAAACAATTCATACAATTAATTTTTTGCATGCCCAAAAAAATAAAGCTTCGAAAAAGCTAGCCAACCAAAAAAAAAAGCCCATCACCGTCCACATGCACAAATATTACACCCCATTTTATGCCAAATTTCGTTAAAAGCAAAAGTCCCCGAATATTGCCAAATTGCAAAACGCCGCTGGCCCAGAGAAGTGTGAGTTAAGCAATTTTAAAACAAAATATACTCTTTTTCAATTTTCGAGGGGAGGGGGGGAAGGATTGTATGATGACGACGATGGGCAACTTAATTTTTCATAACCCATCAAAATGGAATTGGCGTCGGCACACCGCACCGGAATTCCGGGTTCGAGTAACCCGTCGGGTCGAAAGGCCAGTGCCAAGCAGGCCCTCTGATCCCGACGCACAATGAAGCCGTAGTCCATCAGCAAGGCGATTGTTTCGTGGGCCAGGTACTGCAAAATCAGCGTGGCTCCGGCACTCAGAGTCACCTTCACTTTCAAATTCTGCAACCAAGAAAGAGAAGAAGAAAAAACAAACACTTTTGTCCTCAGAATGAATTCGTTACAACGTGGCATTCGTCATAAAAAAAACATATTCATGGTTCTATAGCTTTAAAGTACTGTACTGTACTTCCACAACAAAAATGTGAAGAATTGCATGAAATTACACCTTCTCTCCTTTCAGTCAATCTCCCTTTCTAAAATTTTAAAATTCTAAATGTGAAATACAATCATCTAATGTCAGACATTCCTTTTCTTAAATTTTAAACATTCAAAATGTAAAATACTGTAATCTTGCTTCAGCCATTCCCTTTCTTCATTTTCAAGATTCAAAATCTGAAATAAAATTTTCTTTCTTAGACATTTCCCTTCCTAAATTATAAAAATTTGAAACTTTGAATTCAATTATCTTGGTTTAGAATTTTTTTCCTTGCATTAAAAAAAACTCAAAATGTGAAATGAAACATTTTTGCTTCAGTCCTTCCCTTTTCTTGTATGGTAAAAGTCAAAATACAATTCTCTTTTCCAGACTCAACCTTTATCACATTGCAAAAATTTTTGATGTAAAATATAATTATGTTGTTTTAAACATTCCCCTTCCTAAATTTAAAAAATGTAAAATTTGAAATACAATTATCTCCTTCCAGTCACTCCCTTTCATAAATTTTAAAATTCAAAATGTGAGACAAAAAAGTTTATTTCAGAAATTCCTTTTCTTCAATTTTCAACATTAAAAATGTTAAATACAATTCTTGTATTTCTGATAATCCCTTTCTTCAATTTTAAAAGTTCAAGATATGAAATACAATTCTGTTCTCAGACATTCTCCTTCTTAAATTGTAAAAAATTCATAACATGAAATACAATTCTCCTTTTTCAGGCATTTGCTTTCTCACTTACGGTATTAAAACTTTAAGCTGTGAAATACAATTATCTTATTTCAGACATTCCCTTTCTTAAACTTAAAAAAGAAAAAATACCAAATTTAATTCTAATAGTGAACTACAGTACTAAAATTATATTCAAAAAATCAAATATTACGAGTTTCATAAAAAAAACTGCTAAAAAATATATATTGCTGTGATTGCGATTGCAATAGTGATTGTGCCGAATGTGGGGGGGGGGGGAAATTGACATCATGCAAGATTCTCCCTCACTTCATTCAGCCATGTGTCAAACACTTTCCGCAATTCCTTGGTTCTCGCAAAATGCACTTGCCGAGCTCTCGTGAATTTGACATAGTCAGCAGAACTCAGGCTTCTCGACAACTTCTCCAGCCTCAATTCCCTCTCCAACTTTATCTGCACAATATTTGAAAGAAAAAGAAAAACATTGGCGAATATTCAGGGGGAATACGTTCATAAATGACACAAACCTCGTCAACGAAATCTTCATAGCTCTTCTCCACAGTGTACAAACTTATTTCCATGTTCTCCAAAAACTGCAAAACGTCACTCAGAACCCCTCGCACTTCTGCGTCTTGCTCCGGAACCGTCGCTTGCACTTTTTCTCTTGCAGCTGAAAGTTTGACAAATAGATTGAAATCTTGTTACAACATAATTCCAGGGTTTATAAAAAAACTACTTGTTATGCTGCATAATTTATGAAACTTTCGAAATCAACAACCAGAAATATTTCAACATCAGACCTGCTTATAATCAATTAGATCTTACTTTTCTGGAATTCTCAGATTCTTTTATTTTTTGTCTGACACTGAAGTTTTACAGTGCACAGACTAAATCTGTTAGTCACCAACTCTTACTGAGATGATCAATCAGTGTAGACTTATTATTTTTAGAATTGCTCCTTTTTTGTCCAGGCGTTTACCAAACTACTCAAAGTACTCACGTGAAATAAAGTGGAAAGGCAATACACTCTTTGGAATCTGCACTTAATATCTTATCTTCATATGCGCCCAAGTGGGGAGCTATTCTTTGTGACCCCACAAATGGTGCACACTGGTGTCACAATTGGTGTACATAGGGCTATTCCGGGGTTACAAGCATGCACTTCTGTAGACAAAATCTTGCTACCATTCCTAGGCTACATTTGGTGCACAAATGTGACATAACATGAATATCACACAAAAGCGCCTTGACTTTTGGAACCACATTGAATCAACAAATGTTTACATCGGGACCCATTAGGACCACACTTGTGTGTTAACCACGTGTAATCCCTATACGTACACGTTGTCTTCTTGAAACCATGTGAAGTGTCAGCACAGCAGGGTCACTGCGTAGGATTACAAACATATTACCAAGTGTGCACCAATTTCCCCACTCGGGTGATGCAACTTTGAGTATATTAGTATGTAGTATTAACCTATGATATACTCTGCTCCTTTCAGAGGGTCTTTCACCATCAAAGTAAAATAGAAGGATCTTGATCCATTTATCAATTTGGGGGAATCTTTCTTGGGTCAATGGAATGATGGCAACATTAGAATGCAGGCAAAGCCCATGAAAGACAGGTTTCTCTCTGCAACAGTGTTTCCGATGCTATTTAATATTCAAGCAGTGTATCCTTAAGAGCAGATAATAAAAGAAGCAACCTTGGCATTTATAAGTGAAACCTCTTGAAGTCAAATTTGTTTGCTGATCCCTTGAAATGTAGTGAGGTTTCAGGTTAAAGAGGTATGGGTTATGGAACCAAGCATTTTTGTTGTAGGAAACACAGAACTGAATTAAATAGTAAATGGTGAAATTCTGGGCCATAGAGTGCTTATGAAATGAGTTTTCAGGATGTTGCATGTGGAGGCAGGGGTTCATTTACCCCATTTAATCTGTCACATAATTTCAAAACCCCATAAAAATTCATTTTTATTGTTTTCATTCTTTCCTGTGTCAAGAAAATAATTGCAAAAAGGCCTCAGAAAATTTTAAGTTAGGCATTGCTGCTATGACATTTCAGACTTGAATTTGAAAAAAAATTTACTTAGGAGTTACAACTGTAAAGAGAAACAAGGTTGCACATGCACCACTGTCCTGCAATTATGATCAAGTGAGGGCCAAAAACAGGACCCTGAAGGGATTTAGGAAAGTTTAAACATTTTCATTAGGAAATTAGCACACTGACAAACATATTATAGTTCATAAAAAAACTGAGTGATCTTTTGAAAAGAAAATTAGCATCACCCATGCAACTCCATCAGTTGCTCAAATATATCATTCATTATACTAAAAAATTTGTAATAATGGAATTCTTTGCCACAAGATTCCACTGCAAACAACAATTCCACAAAAAAAAAAGAATACCTAGATACTGAAGCAATCGTCTCAGCTTCCCGTGATTTCGTCGCATGAGGAACACGAAGTCTTCAGCAACAAGGTTTCCAGGTGAGCCTCTGCAAATTGCACATTCTGTCGCTTTGCGCAAAATTATCTTCAGCTGCTCCATGAGTATTTCCTCCACCAATTTGACGGACTCCGGTATACCTTGTGACGACAGAGGCTCAGGCACGTAGTGAGCGCGATTTTGACTGTTTTCTTTGTATAAAAAAACGTGTTTTTATATTTAGAGTTGTACTTTTTTCTAAAGACGAGTGAGCATACGTAGCGTCAGTCACAATGTTGATCACATGACGATGATCAATCTGGAAAAAAAGACGAGAAACAATCGATAACAAACTTTTAAAAAAAATTTCGACAAAAAAAAAACAGCAGATTTCGCATTGAGCTGCATTCATTCACACGAAAAAATCCTTCCGATAACGAACAAGACATTTTTGCACTAATACCAGGAATGCCACGGTTTCCTCTCTCTCTTTGGTATCCCGAGAGCATCTAAACGATATCATGTAAATTTTGCGCACAAAAAAAAAAAAGCAACAAGCGAAAACAAACCGATCCCATTCTTCTTTCGTCATGAGCAACAATTTTTTCTTTCTTCAACAATATTTGAATAAAAACGATTCGAGGTCACTTTCGGGGAATTTCTCCAGCGGGGGGAGATGAAATCGCAATGAACGAAAAAAAAAAGTCCTCTCCCCGGGAAATAATGCTGTCAACGTATCACATCTAGAACTATATCTCAGGTAAAAACAAAAACACACGCATATTTTCTTCTCTGCCAAATGCACATCATTCACGTTTCCGGTAAGCTTTCTTTTTTTTTTTTTTTCTTGCCATTTCGCGACTAGATAGCTTCATGCACATTTTTCTTAGAATTTCCGTCGAGTTCCACCAAATCTCATCAATTTCGATTCTAAAAGCAAACACGTATCAGATTTTTTCTCCTCAGTAGCATTCGATGACACGTTTCTTTAAACGACCCACGAACATCTGTTTTCTTTTCAAACGCATGAATATAAATTCGAGATACCCAATAAAGTTTCTAAATTCTGCAACAGGTGTCGCCCCAACGAACAAATTTCTACATAAAATAATCACGGATCAGCTCAACTCAAGCCCGGCAAAATTTTGAGGAAAAATCTCCAGAAAACAATGTGATAGGAACTACATGAAACAAAAACCACGTTCGTACCCTGAAAAGAATGCGACCCCCTGAGATTTCAAGAAGGCCTCAACGACGATATCCCCGAAAAAATCTCCCTTCGAAACATCCCCTGGGAAAAAAGAAAAAAAAACACCGACAGCATCTTCTTTATACGAAAAGGCTAGAAAACAGCGAGAGCAAAAAATTCGCACAGGCAGCCTCTGTTTCGACGGGGCGGGGGGAGCTTGAGAAAAATCCGAATGAAAACCCCCGCTGCGAACACGAACACCGTTTGTTTCTTTCTTTCACAGCGCGAGAAAAGTTGAGACCCCACCGTTGGAAAACTTGGCGGGGAGGAGGAATAGACTTTTCTTTTTTTTCTCTCGAGAATATCCCAAAAAAAAATCACTAGGAAAAACTAAGAAAGAAAAAAAAACCTCAACTACGTTCACTTTTTTTCTCATTTCAATCAACGATTTCCGAGACAATTATTTTGTTAAATCAAGCGGTCGTTTGAAATTTTGCTTTCAGCAGATATTAGAATTTCGCACTCCTTCGGTTAGTTTCCACGAACTGCTGACCATCAGTTTCACGCTGAATCAAGATGACAAAGCTCAACATCTCTTCAAAAAAGCGAGACACTTCCGAACTCGATGCACAATTTTTAGCAATTATTATTCCAGCTTATTTTCTTCTTCAAGTTAAGGAAATAATACGTTCAATGATTTCCGATCATTCATGAATTTCCAAAAATCATTTCACAAGAACTGCAATACAGCATTATTGAAAAATTCAACAAGAACATTTTTCAAATTACACAAGGGGGAAACGTGAGACATAAAAAAAAAAAGAAGGCTGCATGGGCCCACCAGGAATGAGCAAATGTGTTCCTCTCCAAATCAACTCTCGCACTCTCATATAGCTTTGGTCTTTTTTTTTCGTAAATCTTCGACTAGAAAAAAAAAAGTTCCTTCTCTCAATTAGCTGGGTGTTTCCGCCTGTCCAAGTTGAGTAGAGAGAGAGAGAGAGAGAGAAAATGATTTTTCTTCCCACTGGCAGTTTTCCGTCATTCACGGATGAAACGTGGACGTCTCTCCTGCTCCGACGACGGCGGCGGCGCGACGTCAGGTCTCCTCCTCCTCCTCCTCCCTCAACGACGCATGGCCGTCCTTGTGCTGCATGATTGATTGTCCTTCGACGCCGACGGACGGATGCGGTGACACCGAAACAACAGCCTTGTTTTCCGTCGGACTCTGCGCCAACCACGTGTCCATCCCACCACTACCACCTCCTGTCAGAAAAAAAAAACACTTTGTCATCAGTACTTTCTTGTGTTCCCTCTCACCTAGCAGATGACGCTTCATGCAGCTGCATTGCCTGCCTGCCTGTCTCACAACCTTTGCTGCGTGCTTTGCTGCCAAGTCACGCACCAAGGGTTACGCAACCCTCCCCAAAATAAGGTCAGATCCAGGTCTGACCATAGTTGCCTAATTCCAAATGTCCGACATAACAGGAAAGTACCGTTCTTTCTAACTGGAGCGCTCATTGCTTGTCTGGTCATTGTTTTGAGTCTGTCTTGCGTACTGTTGAACATGGAATGAAGCTTATCTATTTTATACTTGAGGAGTTATTGAATTTACAAAAAACTGGCAACAGGAATAAGAAAATCTCCTCACAAATATATTGTCAGAATTAGTTCTACAGTACTGTACTAAAACTTACGACGGTAAGTTTCGGCAAACGAGAATTTGAAGACGTCTGAATTTGACACTTGCTCAACATCTAAAATAATTAAAATCTGACATTCGACATTCGGCACAAAACAATCGACACATCATCATCATCCATTCTTTACCCAGTCCCCGTTCTTCCTGATTGTCCAAGTGCCCGTGATTCACAGACACCCGTTTCCGATTCAACGTCGCACCGCCCATGACGGAATCAGCCGTCGTCGTCGTCTGGATAATGGGTCTCGACGATGTCGTCTCCCTGAACCCGTACACGTCTCGCCGAGTCACCGACTTGCCCGGATGCACAAACGGAAGCAGGAAGCACAAGGCGGCAGCCATCAAAGCGTGCCACGCAGAGTGCGTCAGGTAATAATTCGACTCTGTCTCGAAGAAACTGAAGACTGCGAGTCCACACGCGCCAAGAATCAGGCCGGGTAGCAGACGCAACGTGAAATACCGCTTTCCGGGGTAACACCGACGGTCCAGCGAGCAAAACACCACCTGAAAAATGCACGAGAAACAATTGATCAGAATTGCACTGGGCTTTCAGATCCTCAGATCCTCAAAAGGGTCTGGGAGAAGTCTAGCAAATTTTGTAATTGAGGGTGAATTTATATCGAGTAGTATTCCAAAATTCTCCGAGTTGATCAGCTTTTCAGGACAGAATTGAATCGAAATTCTTTTGGAATTCCCAGCTCATATCTCTTCCAGTTCTAATTGTTCTTCTCATTGAGGAATCCATTTTCTCAAAAAGTGCCCAACTTTTCTCTGTGCACATTTTGTGGCACTAACTGAAGGGTATATTGAATGACAGAAAGGGTTTACAGAATTGTTAAGCAACGAAGCCTGCTTCACAAGAAATAAAGCCACAATAAATTATCTTAAGACCAAATGTAACGTTTTACTAATATACTGCATTTTCATACACAATACTGTATTTACTTGAGTACCACATGTCTTCAAATAAGACCCACACCGCAATTCAACCATGTAATTTTCATGAAAGCTTATCCCCAATTAAGACAAGAACCCTATTTATATTGACTGAAAAGGAAAACTACAAAACGTAAACAAGAAGAGGCTTCAGGATTAAAATTTGATCCTGAATTCAATTGACTTTCGAATGTATTCATTGGAATATTTTTTCAAAAATCCATGTTAAAAATGTCTCATTATATTCAACTGTGACATACACCTGAACTTAGAATATTTTCTGAAACCTTCATCCCTGTCCATGACACACATCGTCCTGTTTTCCATTCAATTTTGAAGAAAAAAAAAGTGTACATTGTACTGGAGCAAATTTGGTACTTTCTGTAATTACTTGAGTACAACATGGCCTCAAGTAAAACACACACCCAGGTTCTTCAGTCTAGAATTTTTATGAAATTGTTTCCCTCACTAAAATGCACACCCCATTTCTAATAATGACTCTGAAACTACAATATTTCAAAAATTGGAAAACCCTTATTCGAATTCAGACACAAATTGAACCTGGGTTCAATTATTTTCATGAACAAAAGTTTCTCATAAAATTGATTTGAAATGTAATAAAATCAAGTAAAATGCAAACCTCAACTTCAAAAAAATGTTTCAACATTCATTTCCATATATGACACATACCCCCTTTCTCCTCTCAATTTACACAAAAAAAGTGCAGCATACTCAAGTAAATATGTTAATAATACAGAACATATTACATGTCCATACATAATATTTCCACTAAAAGATCAGAAATATTCTTGAAAGGTTTGTTTGAGTATTATATCAGGTGCCCATCCTTCAGGAATCACCAATTTTTTTCAAGGAAAGCTCCCACTTCATCTGTAAAATTTTCGAAAAAGGAAAGCGTAATGCAACAACAAAACATTTTCCAACAATTCGAATTCAGAAATAATATGTTCAAAATCATCCTACATTTTCACGGGATAATTTTAGGCAAGAATTCAATGATTACCCTTGGAAAAAATATGCCTCAATTTCTTCGACTTTGGCCCCTTTTCTCAGCCAGGAGAATTTTTTTTTTCTGGCACTAAATCAAAGTTTCCTCGAGAACACAATAGACAGAACACTAAATAATGCCCACAACAAAAATTAGTTACACAGAACATCAATCACTCTTCCGTTAATCCTCACCCAGGCAGAAAACATGATGAGCGCAGCAAACGCAGTGGGTACAACGAATGCCCACACACTCGCCCGGTCCATTTCGACAGCCAGCAAAATGCCCACAGCTCCGAGCAAATGAAACGCGGATTTGAAGCCCCACGGCAACCCGGCCATGGCCAACAAGGTCACCCAGAAAGACAGCAACCCGCAATAAAAGTCCAACGTTTGCAACACGCCCATCTCCAGCAAGCAAAAGGAATAAGCGCCAAATCTGTCACAGGCATGGTACAACTGAAAAAAATACACCACAAAACATCAATAAAACGTGTTTCCTTGCAAAAAAAAAGTGATGATCACTCACCGCAGACACGCTCATAGTAACAAAAAACACGAGCGCTTCCGAGTAGAACTTCTTCATAATAGCGATTCCGATCGAAGGAACAAACATCAGATTCGACAGCGTCAACAACAGCGTCGCCAAGAGCTGGACATACTCTGGCAACGCTTCGGCATCATCGTTACAAAACCATCCACGATAACCTACACACCACCTCTCTCCTCTGTCATCACTGAAATCACCGCAAAACATCACAACTCACCATTGACACAATTGCACGCTGAAAACAGAAACCCCGACGAGACAAACCACCGACAACACCCGGAATTCTCACAGCGTCCTTTCAAACACGGCTGCAAATGCGCATTGATCTTCACCAACGCTGCTTCGTCTCTACACGGAGACAATTCTGGTTTCCTAAAAATGAAAAATAATATCACTCGAGTCGCGCCACAACAGACACCAAACACCAAATTACCCAAATCGTCCGTCGTTGTAACTGTAGCACTGAGCCATCAACATCAAGTACCATCGCCCCGGGGACGGAAACGGCACTTGCACTTCCACTTTTGTCGCAGTCACAAACGAAGAATTCACTTGCAGGAACAGTCCCGAAGTGCACCAACCATCGGCTTTCAACTCAGCACGTCTTCCATGCGCTAAACATCCAAACACTCGGATCCCAGGATTTGTTTCCGGAATTCGCAAAGGTCTTCCGTATCCCTTGCAAAAGATACAAAACAATAACACACCTCTTGCAGAAACGCCACGAAGCCAAAAAAAAAGACTTACTCGTCCTTCGAGGGAAAACCCCACAGACAACGTCCCTCCAACGTCAATCACCGAATGCAGATCAAACGAAAACAGGTGCGGGTTCGAAGACACAGGGATTTCTACGGAGTCGATTGGAGGTGCGTCAAAGTCATCGTTCGGAAGCTTGAAATAATACGACATTGGTCCATCTCCGGTGATCCTCTCCAGATAAGTCCTGCTCGAAGAAGAATCGGTGAAACACTCAAAACAACACACACAAAAGCGTAAAGCCAACCTTTCCAAACAACCGGCTCTGGAAAAGTAATCGGGTTGCGAACGTTGGACTAGATAGTAAATGTTTGGAAAAAACGACGCGTGCTGCGAAACGTTCTTCAGCAGAGATGCACAGATTTGCCGTGGGGTCAACTCTGTCATCATCATGTACGACTGCTGAGGAGCTTGGTAACTACACGCTGTAAGAACCCACAACTTCAAATATAAGAAATATTTGAAAGAACGAATTAATTGAACTACATACAGTGATATCCAACTTGCAAGATGACCTCGGCACTCGACGTCAGGGCTTCGACTCTCAGAAAATGCCAAGCCTCTTCTTTTGGCATGAATTCGAAAGTGCACGTGGAACTTCTGAAGTCTTCGGAACAGTTTTTCCACCTGGGATCAAGACACAAATCTCTTTTCTTTACAATCGAAAAATGAGAAGCAGCACGGAAGAGAAAAACTCACGCAGTCTCGGGTTTATCAGTAATCGGAAGCGATTCCGCACTAGCAGATAGCATGACAGGACACAAAGCACCGCGAGTAGCTTTCTTCGGAGTACATTTTGCCAATGTAACATTCACTCGCCACGTATCAGCAGGAACATAAAACCTTCGAAATTGCAGAAGAATCATCAGCAACCTGGAAAAATTCCATCCGATATCAACCATACTTGTAGTACTGTGAACTGCGGACATCCTGATGAAGCTTGAAGTTCTGGAAGTCATGGATTTCAGGTACTACAAAAATTACGTCTGGCTGCGTCAAGTACATGACTGAGACGAAGAAAGTCACTTGACACAAGCTGATCATACCCTGAAGAATCAAGGAGTACACTTTAGTAATTTAATCTGAATCGATATCAATTGAAAAAAATTTTTCAACTCACGCCCGGAGAAATACCGGCGTCTTTTTGGGGAAGAAATGCAGCCAGGAACCAATCCAAGGACATCGGGTTTGACACGTTTAGTACAACAGTCACATTGTCACTCATCAGGGATGTGTTATAAAATGATGCTGGAGGAATGAAAAGATTGTCGGGAAGCTTGGCATCGGTAGGACTGATGATGGGGAAACTACCATGCCTAAGAGATCTGTAAAGACAAAGGAGAATGCAAGCAAAAAGAAAAATTCCATCAATCAACCAAAGGAGGAAAACGAAGAGACATTCATCCAAAAAATTCATTTAGTAACTTAGTAAATTTTCGTTTTTTTTAATCGGGCCTGAAGACACAAGAGTTCTGAGACTGCTTTTAAAGGTATGAATGAGCCTTCCGATGTTTTTTCAATGGAGATCCGCTTAGTAGGCATTGGCGAACATAGCTTTCATTAATCACACATTTAATTCATAACGACGAAGGCCTTAGTGATTCACGGAAAATAATACGAGCAAAAAAAACCGGCATTCAGGTAAAAATTGAGCAAAAGTGGTCGAGAAAAACTAACACGGAGACATTTCGAACCCTGCAGCCTCTTCCGGTTGAAGCGCGTAAATGCCAAGTGGCGACGTGACTAGCGTGTGGAACATTGAAGTGGAGAATCTGAGAGTTCCCAAAGAATGAAAACTCGCCAAGCACCACAGGTTCAGCTCTCTCTGTTTTCACGACGTAGTTGGCATCCGCTGGAATGGGTCACAAGGGTTCAAATCATCATGTCAAATTTTCGATCGGTAATTTTCCAAATCTCACCAGAATAGTTGAAAATGATCGTGAAGAAGAGCACGAAACTGAGGACCGGATACATTGTGAGGTCACCACTCCATCACATCCTGCGGAAACGTCTGAGAAAGCTACAGTAGGTCGTTTATGATCTTCGAAGCTCGAGCGAACGTGAGCGGTAGATAATGGTAACACAGAACGGTAGATGTCGCTGCTGCGGCATTTTGACCACTAAATTTATTAAATATCATGAGAAGGGGGTAAGAATGTAATGCAGAAATGTGTAAAAATCATTATGGCGTTCAAGTTCACATCAGCCCTTCAACTGGAAGGATTTGGGTTCTTTTAATGAAGAAGTACTACACTCACAAACTTTTAAATAAAGAAGTTAGTACGCCACATCTGAATGTTTCTTGCTAAGTGTGCAAATTGAATTCCTCTTCCCTTCTGTTTTTTGTTCAATTGGCCCTCTTTCAATCTACGTTGCTGGTCCTTGCTAGCTAACAACTTTCTGAACTCCCTCCAACCGATGTAACGTCATCTTTCTCAAAGCAGCACAGCAGAAACTGAATAAACTTCCTCTTACACAGTATTTCAAAATAAAATCGATGATATTGTTACTATACTGATGCATCACATGGGATACACGTAATGTACTGCACTGCCATTCATCCATGATGTATATAATCTCTTCATATCTGAACTCCAATGACAGGCAATTCTGTTCATATTTTTCCATCCGCAACTAGATAATGCAGTTCACAAAATTTTGGCTCAACCTACGTATTCAGACGTGTACACACTTTAGTAATTGACTTGTATCCATGACCACAGGATTTATTGTGGAAGACCGTTGGAGGGCGGATGAATTAACGATGCTTGCTGCTCTTAAGTTATAGAGGGACACGACCTATATTACCATTATTGATATCCGACGTGGATTGTTTGGGCAACTGCCGTGCTTGCCTGTGCGCTGTATTTTGTTTCCGCGGCGTAGCTGCTGCTGGAGGGCAAATTTGGGAACTTTCCATGTTGATACGGAAATTTGAAGTGCACTGAATGAGTCCAAATCTTCTCGTGGTGTGTGTTATCTTCATGTGTTGGTAACAAATAATTTAGGAAATAANGGGACAACCCGGTGGTGGAGTGGGGCGTCCGGTTGTATGCCATGGTGGCTTCATACAGGACTTGGTCCCATGAAGTAGCGTTTGGCGCTGTTTTGGCGAGGATGGCGGTTAGGGACTTGATTGTGCGTTCGCAGGCGCCATTGCCCTCTGGGTGGTATGGTTGTGCGATGTGCACTTCCATTTGGTTTGCCTTGGTGAACCGTTTGAATGCTGCGGATGAGAAGACCGCTGCGCCGTCCGAATGGATGATTTCAAAGGATCCGAGCTGCGCGAAAACATCTGCAATGAAGCTGCAGAGTGAGTTGGCTGTCGCCCGTTTCACTGGTTGCGCGATGGCGCGTTTGGTGTAGTAGTCGACGGCCACAAGGGCGTATCGGTTGCCCGTTTGTGACGGCGGGAATGGTCCCCAGAAATCTACCCCAAGGCGGTCGTGTTTGTCGGTGGCCGGGACGGCTTCCAGGTGCGTTCCCACTGTGGCTGTCGCCGGATTGAAGGTGAAGCATTTTGTGCATTCGGCGACCCTCTTAAATATTTGCGTTTGCATTTCAGGCCGGGTGTATTGCTGGCGTAGTTGGTGGAACGTCCGTTTCCAGCTAGGGTGTCCCATTTCAATGTGGTATTCGTTGATTATGTCCTGGCGTTCGGATTCGTCTGGTATTTCCTTGAGCTGGATGGTATTCAGTCAAATGCGGCTGAGGGCGTCTGGCCCCGTTAGGGTTTTGCCCGGTCGATGTACCAGCGTGTAACTGAATGATTCCAGTTTGATCTTGAGGCTGATGAGTCGTGTGTCGGACAGTTCCCCGAGGAGGGCCTTGTGGTCCGTGATAATCTTGAAGTGCCGATGTTCGACATAGTGGCGGAATTTTTTGGTCGTCGCCCAGACCGCTGCCAGCAGCTCTTGCTGCGTGTTGGAGTAGCATGTTTCCGCGGGGGTTAGGACCCGACTCGCATACTCCATGATGTGGGGTTGTCCTTCTGGGTCGATTTGAACGAGGATGGCCCCGATTGCGGATGCGGACGCATCGCAGTGAATCTCGGTGTCCCATGCTGGGTCGAACCGTTCCAGCCGAGCGGCGTTTGCTATCGCTTGTTTTAGCGCTTCGAACGCATCAGTTGCCTCCGGTGACCATATGATGGCTGTTGCCGGTTTGACTGGAATTGTTAGTCGTAGGACTTTCTCCAACTGTGCGAAATTGGTCGGCACATGAGCTCGTAGGTAGGTGGCGAGGCCCAGGAATCGCTGCATCTGGCGTGTTGTTGCCGGTTGTGGGAAGGCCTGGACGGCTTTGAGGTGCTCTTCCGTGGGGCGTGTGCCCGTTTTGTCGACAATGTGGCCAAGAAAGTTGATGGACTCTGCCAAGAATTTGGATTTGCGGATGTCGATGGACGCTCCTGCGGACGCAAGCGTATTGAGAACCTGTTGTAGGTTTTCAAGTACCGTTTCGAAGGTATTGCCGAAGACAATGATGTCGTCGATATAGACCAGACACTTTGTGTATAAATGCGGGCGCAGGATTGTTTCCATGGTCCTTTGAAAAATGGCGGGTCCCGTTTTGAGGCTGTATGGTAAGACCGTGTACTGCATTTGTCCTGTATAGGTCAAAAATGCGGTCTTGTGGCGATCGCCATGTGCGATGGGGATGTGATGATATCCCGAATGCAGGTTGAGGCAGCAGAAGTAGGCGTTTTGGCGCCCTAGTGCGTCGAGGATGTCTTGAATGACTGGCATTGGGTAGTTGTCCGCCAGTAGAACCTTATTGATTTCCCGATAATCCTCTACCAGGCGCCACCGCTTGATGGCGGGGGCGTTTGGATTGTCGTCTTTCGGCGTCAGGAAGGCCGGGGAATTGACGGTGGACTGGGCTGGTTCTATGATACCCGCGCGGGTGTAATTGTCGATGATGTGTTGGAACGATGGCCGCTTGTCTGGCGAGAGCCGTATGCGGCGACTGGGTTCTGGGTCTTCACCGTTGGTGGGTAGCGATGCAATGTGCTGCGGGAAGAGCCCGTGTTTACCGCTCCACTGGAAGATGTTAGGGGCGTAGCGCCGCAGGAGTGCCGCGATTTGTTGTTGCTCTGCGGGCATGCCATGTACAAATGTGATGCCCTCGCCTATCGGCGCTGTCGGGGCTTCGTTAATAGGTTTAATCTGTTGAAATCCGGAAAAAACTTGCTGGCGGTCGAGGGTGACCCAGAAAGGGAGATTCTTCAGCGTGTCGAGCCCGAGTATAACAGGGTAGTGCGCGTTGGAGAGTAGTAAGAAGGTGGCTTCGTACGCGGCCGATCCAAGAGTAAAAACAGTACTCACTGCATGACTGACGGTCGTGAAGACGTGAAGAACTGCTGCGGATATCCTCGCTTTGGTCGGATGCGGAGACAGGCCGACTTCCTCGGCGACGTCCGTCGCCATGAATGATTTTGTTGCTCTGGTGTCGATCAGGGCGGTCACCCGTTTGTTTTTGATAGTGATGATGATGGTCAGGCTGTCGTCTGTGGGCGTGGGGATTGAGCAGAGGACAGCCGTCACTGCCCGATCTTCCCGTTTCCCGGACATGTTGCTGCGGTATGTCCTGTATTGCCGCATTGTACACATTTAGTCGGTTGAATCGATTGTGCGGGGGATGGTGTATTCACCTGGTTCGCCGGGTTGTTTTGGCATTCCTCGGTTGAATGTGCGACCATGCGCCCCGGATGGAACGAACAGCTTTGTAGGGGGCGCCCGTTAGCCATTGTGGACGGCGTGGATGCCCGTGAACTCGTGCGTGACATTGTGCACTCGGCCGTGCTATGAAAAACATACCGCTGATGATTTTCGCAGTAGTATTTGGTGATTCCGGATGCCGTCGTCTTGGGCGGGCGGTTGGCGGGTGATTGCGGTGCCGGTGATGCGGCCGGTTTTGGTGGTGCCGGATGTGTACGTCTGTATTCGTCGGCTATCGCCAGGCATTCGTCCCATGTGAGGGAACGGTCGGCTGTCGCCCGCGCGTGTAGTTGGGCGTGGAGCCCGCCGGTGGTGATGGACAATAGTTGTCCAATAAGGGCCCGCGTGATGGCGGTCTCATGTAGCCCAACCTCGTTGGGTGGTAAGGCGAGATATCGGAGGTATTCGTTGCGTAGGCGTGGACCAAACTGTGAAAAGAGCTCGTCGGACGCTGGTCGGAACTGCTGGAACCTGGTAAAGTGTTCGAATGGTGATAGACCAAACCTGGCTTTGAGCTTCTCCGCAATGACGTTGTAGTCCTCAAATCCTTGGTCGTATAGGAGTTGTGCTGCCTCCGCTACCTTCGGCTGGGAATGCCCGATTAGACAGTCGACTCGCGTGAAGTTCGGCGTTCCGTCGTGTTTGAAGGCGGTGTCCAGGCGTTGCAGGTACATTTCAATACTTTCGTTGGGCGACTGATGCGGGTAGTCCACGCGTCTGCGCAGCAACGATTGTGCTAGCAGTTCTGTAGACCCCGGTCCCGTTTGATAGTCCGGCGGTGAGACGAGGATGATGTTGAGTGGCGTTGCGCCTCTGGCCTGAAGTGCGCTGATGAGTTCATCGCGTGGCACTTCGTTAGCGTTCGGAATGCCGTTCGCTGTCGCGTACGTATGGATGGCGTTTAGCATGAGGAAATTCCATGGATTGGCTGTCGCCCGTTGCTGCGATGACGCTACCGGTTGCGGTGACGCGTTCGCGTTAGATGGTCCCGGTTGGGGTTCACTTTCAGTGCGGTCACTGTTCATTGCGGGTCGTCGTCGGTCGGCTGAGCCCCCAGTAAGATTTGTCCACAGTCACACTAGGATAAGTTAGACTTGGAATGAGTTGACACCAATATCGGAATACTGAAGTCTATTCACATAAGCACACTGTCGCACACATAAAACAGAGGTCCGCACTCGTCAGAGGTTCGAGGTAGAATGAGGCTTGGCGTGCCTCTCGTTACACAAGATGGCCGGTCGTTGGCGCGCGGGCCGTTGCGCCGGCGTACCCTGATTGGGTATGAGATCCAAACGAAGCTCGATTCGAATACGCATTTGTACAAGTCGCGCGGGACTAATGGCTGCTGGCCGTTACTATATCCGACGTGGATTGTTTGGGCAACTGCCGTGCTTGCCTGTGCGCTGTATTTTGTTTCCGCGGCGTAGCTGCTGGAGGGCAAATTTGGGAACTTTCCATGTTGATACGGAAATTTGAAGTGCACTGAATGAGTCCAAATCTTCTCGTGGTGTGTGTTATCTTCATGTGTTGGTAACAAATAATTTAGGAAATAAATATATGAGAGTTTATTACCTTTAGCAATCCAGGCGAAACGTTACGAGCGTATCAACAAACGTATCAAGCGTGTGAAATCATTCTTTACTGAGGTAGCAGGGTACACTGCGATACTGATCTATATTGTTGGGGAACAGAAACTCGATCACAGTAGCTTTTCTAAAGTTTTCCGTGGTGTAGTTTCTTGCCGGAGCAGAACTCATGGTCAGCAAAACTCTAGGCCACTGCACCCCCCATACCCTCACTCCCTCTTCTCATCACTCTCTTCTTTATGCACGCTAGTGACAGACTTGAGGATTTGAGTTTACAGTGCGCTGGGCGGTGTCACAGGACTATAGTGATACCAGGTCTAGCAAGAATGTTCACACTGGAATAAAGGGTGTCACACGACAACTTCTTCACAGTATAAAGGAGTCCACTTTTTTGTCATTCAAGTGTTACAAAGCTTTATCCTCTAGCTTCTACAATGATCATATTTGAAAGTGCAAACCTTCTTGAACTGTGGTTTGAAAAGTTGTTACAGATGAAGCTCAACTTGACTGGTTGTGAGGACTGTTTGACAATTTGATTTGAATAAGTACATCCACATCATATGAGTACCTTGAGGCAAGGCCAGATTAAAGCAGGTGCTAATGATGCTGCAGCATTCTGGGCTCACCAGGCAAATAGTAGGCCCCTGTGAATTTAAAAAAAAATTTAGCCAACTGGAGCATTTATAATTTAAGAATAAATCTGAGGAAACTTGAGACAAATATAAATTTGTAATAGGCAAACTGCATATGTTATTGGTTGAAAACAGGTGTACTCTCATGCCTGCTTGTAATGCTTGCATATACCTGGATTATTTGCTAGGATTGCACAATTTAAAAAATCTATACATTGGTGACTGGCCTCGCAAACACAAGCATACAGTTGCAGGACTGCATCTGCTAGGTGGAACATTATTTGTAGGGCATCTACTTGTACTTCATGCATATGCGACATCTATGAGCAAAGTAGGAGTCAATACTCTGTTCTGACATGCAAACACAAGCATACAGTTGCAGGACTGCATCTGCTAGGTGGAACATTATTTGTAGGGCATCTACTTGTACTGCATGCATATGCGACATCTATGAGCAAAGTAGGAGTCAATACTCTGTTCTGACATTGCATAGATGTCACTTTTGCATGAGGTACATGCACTGATTAGACCTCTTGCAAGCTAAAATGGAACTATAGGGATAACCTTGCAAGCTAAAATGGAACTATAGGGATAACCTTGCAAGCTAAAATGGAACTATAGGGATAACCAGCACTTGGAACTTCCTGAAGTCAAAATATGTTCATCTATGTCTGAATTTCATTAGAAAAAACATGTATTAAAACCTCCCTGAGTCTCAGACTTTCCCCTCAAGCCTCCATACATTGGATTCTGGAGTCCTTTTATTCTATTATCACAGGAAATATGAAAGACATAAAAATGTTACAATGTCAAATGAAAGCCTTTATGAAATAAACTTTTACTAACTTGTCAAATTGTTATTGTCAAACCACATTTATAAGAAAATATGCCTGAAATCTAAAAGACCCCTGGAACATCCCATCATATCATTTCACAAATATGTGGAGAAATCATTTTTTCTGACATGGAGTCACCTGCTACACCACATAAGGGATTTATTCACAAATCTTGAAGTCACTCATGCGCAACCACAGGAGAGAGAGTGTTGGGTGCAGGGCGTGAGGGGATGGGGAACGCAGTGGCGAAGAGTTTGGACGACCAAGAGTTCTGCTCCAGCGAGATGGGGCCTCACCATAGGACCATACCGCAACAATCCGCACAGGACTGATTGTATTCTAACTCTTCACATAGGTGTCACTGAATGTACATCACACTTTTTTAGCAGGACACGCACAAGGTCGACTTCTCCATACTGTACTTCTTCTTCCATTAATATTCCAACACCTACTGAAACTGAAGCAAGTCAGATAAACTGCGATTGTGCCACTTATTAAACAGTATATCTTTTAATATCCCTTGAATTTGTTTCAGCTCAAGCACTGCTGAATATTCGTTCAATAAAAATAATTACGAACACTTAATTACTGTAAAGGAAGTACAGTATTTGCTGTAGTAAATTTCTGAGAAAATTAAATTCCTTGAAATTGTCTTTTCCAGAAATTTGAAAATGACCAAAGTTTGCCCGCGATTAACGAACTTACATTTCCTGCACTATAGTCAAATTACTGAAACTAGTGTAGGTTCACGAGCAAATTCCATAGGGGCAGCATCGCCGGTACGTCATGTTGGAAGCATCATGACGTGTTTTGGGGGTATAGAAATGGCAAATTGTCTGAGCTTGTTAATTTTATTGACTTCGTAGTTCGAGATACAGTATCAAGTCATGGTTGGAACTGAGTTAATACCAGTGTACCCAATAACCCAACAATTCTTCACCAACACCCGGAAAAAAATCAGAGACCTATTCTGGTGGATTATACTAGCCTTAAATTATAATTTTTTCGACGTGGTGAAATTAGTAGTCAGACCAGAAATTTTTTTAACCAGTCTGCTGGGTTGAGCAACACGATTATATGTCTCTCGAAGAAAAATTCATCAGGAGTCATTCAGCGCAAGGATTTCATTCACACCATCCACAAGTTCCATATTCAGCAGAATAACTTTCCCTTAAAGCTTCAACAAGATACACAGAGCAAATTCTTTGTATGAAAAAAGCATGATTAAGCCTCGTTGAAAATCGCGCATAAATTCCTCATTCGAATCATTCCCGGAACTTCGTTTTCAGGAAAGCTGGAAGCGGAAAGTAATACAATAAGAAATTCGCCAAGAACATGACGACAGGAAACAAGAACATGAGACCAAAATTCAAATCTCTCTGCAAATCGTCCGTGCAAGCGTTAGGTCCAGACAAGAAGGTTAAACCACTCGGATCCCGTTTGCATTGCGCCTCGTCAGACACGTAATACCGTTCCTGAAATTAATTTAAACAATTTGATTCATTTCTGCAGCCACTAGTTCTCAACAACGGGGGTTCCGCGGACAAGGTCCCATGAGTCCATGCTGGGAACTGCGATAAATTTTTGGTCAGTCATTATTTATTTTGAGTAATAACCGGTACTATTATTTTTCTAATAATACAGTACATTGCTACTCCGAGAACTTTTGTTAGAACCCTCGTAGATGGTACGTCGGCATCACGTACTACTCATCATGCAGTAAATCGTAACTGGTTTTTTTAATCCAAATAATCCAAAAACTTTAAAACATCATGAGCAATATCTTGATTTTTTTTATTTGATTTTGTTCAACAATCACACCTACTTGAAGATGTCAGAGGTTGTGTCCAACTGGGACAACCCTCGTATATGATCAAGTCTTTCATGCTCACCTGTAAGAACGAGGATCCATTGTAGTATCTGCAGCCAAACTCAGCTCTGATGGAAGCGCAACCGATGGTACCATTCCTGGTGCCTAAATCGAGCCCCAGCGCAGAAACTCTCGAGTCCACAGTTCCTCTCATTTTCGCAAATTCCAGATCGTGCAAAAATGCCCCGACGTACCGATAGTGAAGGACGTAGGACAAATAATACAACCAGTCTGGCAATCCAAGCATTGATCTGTTGAAAACCAGAGAAAAAAACTCATGAGTAAGAGTTTTGATTTTGCTGGATAGATTTTCAACCAATAATATCCTTGCAATATTTGAAAGTATTGCGCATTAATAAACATGAGAACAGCATGGAAAATATTGTATTTGGATGGATTTTGAAAAAGCCGTTGCATTTTAAGGGTATTTTGCAATACATATTGCCCCATAGACGCATCTAGAATTACATATCCAAATGTCAAAAACCCAGAATGGAGCTAAGTGGAATAATTTTGGTAGCAGTAGTGGATCACTTTTGACTACAATTCCTGTACAAATAAATAAATCCCTGCAGAGAATCAATTCGTTTTATTCTAAATTAGACTCATATACTTCAGATGGATATCTTTATTCAAATTAAATTATAATGATATTGATTTAGGTAGGGTAGATATATTTTGGGAAACCAGGTATTGCTCATGGTTTTTTTTGTGCATAACTGAAATTCAGATATATACTGTAGAAAAATTCACCTCAAAGAAGCTTCAGCAATTAGTACATAAATTGACAAGAAGTACAGTGACACCAAAGCAGCCATGAATGAAGACTTGACAACCAGTAGAATTGCGACTGTTTGCTGTTCAACAAACATGTAAGTAGCAAACATGGCCGCTGCAACCAAGAAGAATGACTCCACATCCGCTGTCCTCCAATGTGGCGGCCTGCAATAATGTAAGAAATATCCCTATTACAATAAATCAAAATTCATTCAAAAGCAGAAGAACCCACTGAAGCAATGCTATTTATGAGAATCTTATCCAAGAAGAACATAGTTTCTTGGTTCTTAGAACCCAGCGGTGAGCACACCTTTTTTTGTGCCATGCTGAAATCAATAGATGGAATTTTGAAAAATAGATGTGATGAATCATTTAAATTGGATGCATGAATTTTAATTTTGAAAATCATAGAATATTCAAATTATTGATGAAGTTATCTCTCAAGTACGACAGTATTCAATGCATCCTGCAAAAGCATTCAGCCATTTAAATCAGTTATTATTTTCTCATAATGATTGCTCAAACATTTGATTGTGATGAACTTTGTTCAGATATCTAGCAAATCAAAGTATTGTCAGTCATGACAAATGTACCAATTGACCACATATTTTTAACTTAACTTAATTAACTGAACCTGCACTTGCATCAAGGAACATATATTAAGTATATCATATAGGTATTACAATAACAAAATAAGCTATGCATAAGTTAAATTTTTCGCCTTTCATAATCCTGGCATTTTTTAAAGATTACTGTAGTACTGTGGTTGTTACTGATGACCTGAGACACATTTTAAAACGAAATCCTTTCAAGTTCAATCTGTATTTCCATTCTAGCTACTAAGTCTGAATGAAGAGCAGGAGTATGAGGCATTATAATTAATTTATAAATACTTATAAGAACAAATAGTTTCACCCAGCCCAAAATTCCAGAGCCTGTATTACAGTGCTAAATCCAAAAAAAAATCATGTGCATAATTTTTCAAGCAGCTTGTTTGGCGCATAGAACAAAAACAGAACTTCGAAAAAAGATTAAATCACCAGTAAAGCAGAGCGGAACCACCAAGGACACTCAGAATGGTCAGTGGCAAGGAATGCAGCAGAAGGGAGAACAGGAAAATCCCTGGTCCATAAGCACCTTCTCTGACTTCTTGGTAATATCTTGTTCTCAAGGGTGCATCTGAAAAGGGGAAAAAAAAGAAATTTCATGCCAAGTAAGTACAATTACTGCATCTAAACCAGAAAAAAATTCCCACAGCCACATGGTTTGCTTGTCACAATCTAAAATCTGCATGAATGAAAATTTGCATACAAAGCTTCTTTTTTTTTGCCATGCATGGAATTGCAAAATTGGACATGTTGGGACAAACTTACACGTTTTGGCAGTGACAACAGCAGACACAGCAGAGACAAGCATGATAGAATTGAAAATGAGTGAAGACCTAGTCATCAGTGTTTGCTGGGTTTTCTCCAGGTCATAATAGAAGAAGGGTCCTATGATACCACAGACCAAAGGCAGCAAAAGTAGCCTAAGAAAAATGTTGCTTCTTCCTGTTCTTCCCCTGCTCAGAGTATAGGACCAATTCCTCCTGCAGAATACAATAAAACCATTTTGAGAATCTACATGCCACAACAAAACATGACAAATACAGTAATTCATAAAAAATTGTTTCATGAAAATGTTCCATATTTCATGATATAGACTTATAGAGTACAGTATTTCATTAAAAAAACAATTATTTCATTGAGAAATGTATTTCATGAAAATTTGATTTTATGAATAAATTAATTTCATGAAACACTTTCAGACTTTGAAGCAAAATTACTTTTCTAGAGAAATTACAAGATGCCTTGCTCAGTAAAAGCTAGGCATGACTAGCTGAAGAATTGAAATCCACAATAATTTTTGTCCACAATCTTATCCAAATTAAATTTCATTGGAAATAGTCAATATATTTATATGTTCAACAGTATTTCCCTTCAGTAGCTACTGCTGCCGAATTTATATTTGAGGTTTTGCTTGTTTTTTTTGTTGCTGGAATTAATTATACTTCTGTTAATTCTGCTATTAAAAATCAATTAGATTTTTATTTTAAATACTGTATGATCTATTCTATTGAGCATAGGACCAGCTACTGAATAGGACTAAAAGACTCCGGTCAAATGAGGTCAAATCTAATGAGTAAGGAATTTTTTAAACGCAGCCTAACAGCAGACATTTTAGCATTGCATCACACCTCAATTTTTTTCTCGCTTTCAAGTGCATGTACAGCATGTTAAAAAAGGAACAAACTCAACTTGACAAGCGTCCAGAGCGTTGTTCCAGTACCGGGTTTCCCGTAGGCCGTCAGCGGGACCTTGTTGCCGCCGTGAACATCCGCCGAGTCCAGGTCCGGCGCCGGTGGCGGCCCTGCGGAGCGCAAAAACGGCTCCCCATCGGTCTTGAAGCGGTCAACGAGCGCCGCGATCTGGTTGTTGCTCTCCAACAACCTCTCCCTGGACCTCCGATCCACAGTTGACAAGCACACTGAGAAAAATACAGATACAGTTTAGCTAGCACAATAATTTTACTTCAAATGTTCAGCACAAACATTCCTTCCTTTAGTATTCATCTCAATGGAAAACATTATCAACTTCAAGCTTTTTTTTTCAAAATACAATTTTCTCCAACTTTTAACCAACACAAAAACGTGCAAAAACTTCCAAGTCCGAAGAATTGAATCAGCGATTGTTTTAAATACCTTATCCTCAAACATCTTCAAAATGTCACGATTCAAAATTGTTCGCATCGATATTTCATTATAATATTCGACTCAAAAAAAATGTAATACTCGTATGTTTTAATTCAAAATGCTTAAATTAACATCTGTTTCCAATGCCTCGTGATCAACTCAAATTTTGAAAATTAAAAAAAAAATTCAGAAACAATTCTTTCCATTACTTATCTAGCAGAAAATGTAAAATTTTTAAATTGAATGAAAAAAATACTTGCATTATAACGATGGTTTCAAATAAACAGAAAATTCGAAACATTTCAAAATAATTTGCATAAAATTTTTTATCGCTTACTCTTACAGCGCTCAACTCTCAGAAACTTCAAAAACGCGTAAATGGATTAATCAACTCGTTTAAGCAATTTTTTCGATTGAACAGAAAATTTTCTAAATACTGAACTGTATACAGTACTCGCATATGAACAATTTTCTCGAAAAAAATTTGGCATTAGCAATCGTTGACAATATTTTACATTTGAAAATTATTTTTAAAAATTGTTTAAAAAAAATGTTTCAGAAATATTTCCGCGCAAAAGTCAACGCATGCAAGAAGGAAGATTATTTTGTTGAAATCCGAAGGCGTACATGTGACGTACATGCAGTTGAATAAACGTTTTATATTTGAAATAATAAAGAGAGAGAGAGAGAGAGAGAGAGAGAGAAGGTAATAAGAACATAATTGGCCTCGCGTACGGTAGTACATCAACGGGTTCTCCAGTTCCGGGCACGGGAACCCGATGGACCGGAAGTAGTCCAGCATGCGACGCGTCGGGCCCGCATAGACGAGCACTCCGAGACTCAAGTACGCCACTCGGTCCAGGAACGGGAAGATGTCGGACCGGGGCTTTTCCATGGTCAGCACGACGATGCGACGCCGTTTCCTCGCGTGGTTGCTCAGGATGGACACTATGAAGTAGGTGTTGAGTGGGTCCAGGCCCCAGGTCGGCTCGTCCAACAACAGAACAACTGCGAATGCGAATACAGTGTACAGTGAAATCTCGCTACAACGAACTCCCATCAGGGACCTGACAAAAAAATTAATTTTTTAGTACAGCGCTCGAATGTATTTTCAAAAGAATCCTGGCAACAATGACATTTTTCCCTTACCGAAACTTCACTGAGAAACCTCCAGAATCATTCAGAAAAAAATGGGAAGCTGATACGTACAAGAAAACTGTTGGGCATGTACGCCAGGTAAAGTAGCGTACCTAATTCTTAGAAACAAAGTATTTCCTCCTCCTCAAAATCAGCATCCTTGACATTAGCTTTCCTATTCTGATTGTGAAGCAAAACCTTATGAAGGTTAATTATTATTTGTCATATACAGTATAAGCAGCGCTTCTCTTAATATTATAAGATCAATCCAGTTCAACTGTGGTATTCAAGTTATCCTCAAGTTTATTCCTACAAGTTGCGCTTGTTGAGTTGTTCATTCATCTCATACTTGGGTGAAATACAGTTTATCCCTTCAACCTAGGAATTCCTAAATGGAATCCTGGTCCTGTCACAGACTGAATGATGTGTTTTCATTCTAAACGCAATAGCACTCAACATCAACTTATATTGAAGACATTTGTCCTCAATAAAAACGGACTTTGCAAAATAACTTAAATAAGTGCAATAATTCCACGACTTACCGTACAACAGAAAACCAAGTGATTCCCAACGTATTATTCAGAAGAAAAAAAAATGTATTGTAAAAAATTGTGAAAGCTGTGAAAAAATTTGAGAAAAATGCGGAACAATTAACTGAAAAAAATTAATTGCATTTTTTTGGGATTGTTGGACAACAGCGTTTTTCATTTGTAAGAATGTGTAATACAGAGACTACAATTGTGCCAAAAATTTCTTTTTTACAGAAATTGGGAAACATTGAATCATGAGAATTTCTCGAACAACATTTGTAAAAATTACTATGAAAATTTCAAACATTCCTGCTGGAAAGTTTCGAATATTTTGGCAGAAAATTGGTGATAAATAAAATGATTATCATTTCTGGAAGAGCATTCGTCGACATTTCGGATGAAATTCTTGAAAGTTACAGTCAACAAGTTTTCGAATATTTCGGCAGAAAATTTGCGAACGTCTCTGACGGAAAATAGCGAAGAAGCGGAGCATTTTAAAAACTTTCGGCAAAAAATTGCCAATTTATGAAATTTAAAAAAAGTTTCGGGCAGAAAACTGTAAAAGTACACTCGTTTGAGCCGTGATCATCTTCTATAATTTTCTTCCCTTTTCATGTACGCTATACAAGAACTTTTCGCTGCTTTTAAAAAATTACCGATAATGCGTTCAAATTAAAATGAAGCACTATTCAATTTAAATGGAAAAGTATTGCATGTGTATCTAAGGCTCTACTATGATTGAAAATTCAGAAATCACACGAATTTGTTTTTATTTTCTATCTCTTGGTTGAAATATCATCACGCAAACCCATTTAATAATCCTAAAATATTTTGATTTGGAATATTGATGAATATTCCACGCGAGAAAATAGTGGGGATTCCTCTGAATAACTCATGAGGATGAGTCAATGTGGGAAGTTTTTCTTCTCCATCAAACGGGTTATTTGCATTTCAAAACGGCCCGAACCACTTCAGCTGCGCGTTTTTTTTTCAATTTTTCATGACTGAAATTTGAATATTTTCTTTCAATTTACTCCACACAATGACCACCAGCAGACCTCACTATTGCAAAAATCAAATCGTCCACTTTCGTGTTGGCCGCGAAATTAATGCTGCCATTTGAAATTTTTTGAATTTACACGGCCAGCTTCAACGAAACGTTTTTTTCTGTCGTAAAATTGCGAACTGCTGAAACGTTTACCGCGTTTTCTTTTTTTTAATCGTATTTTAGATCACATATGAACATATCATACGATGCGAAAATGAATCGCCAATTAATAAGGATTTTGCTCGATTTGTTTTTTTTTCTGATTGACCAAAAAGAGCCAATCCCGTTGTGTCAATTATCCAATCCTTTGGTCATTTGTACTAATTACACGAGGGAAATAATTTAACCTCATTTTTTTTTGCTGATAACTCACGCGGGTCTCGGACAATTTGCACAGCAATCGCCAACCTCCGGTACTCGCTTTTTGACAAATCCTCCACGTCTCGATTCCGCACTTGCAGCAGTGCCAGGTCCGACATTACCTGCAAAATCAACCTTCAAATGTACTCTTCAAAAGATTCTTGACAAAAATGATATGTTTTCCGTCACCAAAACTTCCCTTCCAAACGCCACAGAATTATTCAGAAAGAAAAACTGCAAGCTGATACGAGGGTTCTCACAAAAGTTCGCGGAATAGAAATTAAAAGGCACATAATTGAGCTGGAAAAAGACATTCTTTTGCGAAAACATATTGTATGGCACAAAAAAATCAGACCTTTTTGACAAATTGTTTTGAATGTTTCGCAAAACTCTGCCAGGGTGAATTTTGCAAAACATACAAAAAAATTGTCAAAATGGTCTGATTTTTTTGACAAATTTTTTGAATGTTTCACCCTGGCAGAGTTTCGCAAAACATTCAAAAAAATTTGTCAAAGAGGGCTGCTTTTTTTGTGTCAAAGAATATGTTTTCCCTAGAGAATACATTTTTTTCTTTTTTTGACAAATTTTTTGAATGTTTCACCCTGGCAGAGTTTCGCAAAACATTCAAAAAAATTTGTCAAAGAGGGCTGCTTTTTTTGTGTCAAAGAATATGTTTTCCCTAGAGAATACATTTTTTTCGGCTAAATTATACGCCATTTTCATTTCTATTCCGAGAACTTTTGTTAGACCCCTCGTACAGTACAAGAAAATTGACTTTGCAAAATAAGGGCGATAATTCCACGACTTACGGTAAAATATAAAAGCAATTCTGAACATAATATTCAGAATAAAATAAGTGCTTTGGAAAAAATTCAGACAGCTGCGAAAATTTTTAAGAAAAATGTGCAATAATTACCTGAAGATAATTAATTACATTTTTCTTCGATTGTCGGACAACAGCGTTTTTCATTAGTAAGAATGTGTGATACAGAGAACTTATTCACGTGCAAATTTTAGTCTTGATTGCTTCAATAATGTCCGTCATTCTTACTTGGAATTTCACGCTCGTTCTCCTTCCATAAATATTTTAAAACTTCCCAAAAACGGGATCCTCAATTCGTTGGAGAGATTTGAGTTCATGGTAATCCTTCAGAAATATTTAATTTTCAATGCAGGTATCCGCGGTTTTTTTATTTTTGTCAAAAATTGATGAGAGAACTTTCAGAGGAAAACACTTCTGTTTAAATGCGATTTTATGGCTAAAGCATCCGTGCATTTATTCGTACTCTCACGATTAAGTCTACTTGATTCTATGCAAGTACTTGAAAGTACTATAGATACTATAAAAAAAAATCCCTTCATTGACATGCAAGCATCGTCGGAAAAATCTCCTGAGAAGAATCTCTGCTGCTTCTTTACTGCATAAAATCAGTAGAATCCAGCCGCCATTTGCATTCATGACAGTACTTGTGCGCATGGAATTCGAATCTTTTATTTTATTGTTCCCAGTCACAACATCCCAATCTTTCAGAACTTGAAACTATTTTTTTTTTCTGGACTGAATGAACATAATTCAGGAAAATAAACATCCGAAGCTGAGAAGGTATATTGCGATTAATGCGAGGAATTTACTGGGTAATGATTAGTATTGCAGAAATATTTTTGATCAAGGTTCCCTTTGCCCAGATAATTTAAATATTCGTGGATAATGGAAAACATTCATTTAACTTATGTGGAAACAAGGGACGAACAACTCGAAGAAAAAGGATAGGATGACCTGACATGCCTTTACAAACATTTCTGCAAATTTTGAAGCAAATCAGCACAGGTACTGTAATGGCCAATCAAACAGAATAAGACGGACAAAAAAATTATTCTTCAAGGTACTTGAAAATGAAATAAAATCGAAATCATGGACACTACAAAAAGTATACATTTTCAAACCACTTCATACTGCGTTTTTTAAAAAATGCATGTGTAATATAATGAGCATAATTCAACTAGTCCCAATAATCCTGCTGTATTCAGAGTGTCAAGGAAACTTAGGCAGTCCACTATTATACACTTCACAAATGCAAATTTTGAAACATTTGGATAAAATCCATACATTTTCTATATCTTCAAAAAAAGGTCGAGTCGGATTTTTTATTGGATAATCCAACGATTTAACATTCGGACTTGTTCAATCAAATTTTTGTACAGTTATTCGAGAATTATGACATCATTCACTGGGGGTCATTTAATTACTGCGATTCAGGCGACATCTGGTAAAAGCCAAATGAACATACCTGGTCGAGATGCGAACGCCATCTAGGTGATGTTGCCTTGTTCCTTCTTACTGTCAGGGAAGCAGCATATTGCAAGGTTTCACGCACTTTCAGGCCTGTTAAATCGGGAATTTGATCACTGTATCCATTATCAGACATATTTTGAAACTCTGTTGCTCGCCATCTGTATGTTTCTAACAATACTCTACGTGTATAAAACTGAAAGGAATACATCTCAATTACTTGCTGTTGGTAATAAATACGCTCCTTTTTATCAAATTAATTCTCCACATGCACAGCAGGGTTATTGACAAACTGCTTAAGGACCACAATCAAAAATTGCATATGCTTTTGACAAAAGGTATAGTCACCTCTCACTTTATAGTCTCCCCAATTTAGTGCCACCCTTGCATGGTGCCACAAATTTTCCTGGAAGAAATCTCCCTTCATTATCTTAGGGAAACCCTGATTTAGGGCCTACTCACTTATTGCCACAAGAAATCTTGGTCATGTTTAAAAAAAGGAAGAAATGGAAGTAAACTCAACCACTTTTCCAAGGACATGAGACTTTTGACTGAGAATCACATCCTTATGCTGAAATAAATATCACATCCTTATATGCTGACATAAAACTCAGGATAAATGTGAAAAATCTATTCTTGAATTTGAATCATTGACATTTTTTTTGCATGATACCCTCCTCCATTGAAAAGATTAAAATGGAAGCTTTTGTGGAAACATTGGTAATTGTTTCAGAATGTCACTTCAAATAAAACTACAATAACTCAAATGCACAAAAAATATTGAGAAACAGCTGTGATCTTTTACAAAGTGTCATGTGTTTGAAAATATAATTCATTCTGCCTTGATACATATTTTGAAATAAAAAAAATTAAAAAGTACTGGATCTTTGAGCTTCAAATTATATATTTTGAATTTTTTTTTTATAAAACACCCTTACTAAACTAAAAATGCTGTAAATGAGCCAATTTTTCCTATAATGAAACCCTCAAGTGGCAGACCTCTCTGTCATACCATATCCTTGATTTAGTGCCAGAAAATGTGCTGGGACAAACAGTGGCACTAAATTGGGGTTTGACTGCTTATGTAACACAGTGTTCCCCAACTTTTTTGGGCCTGCAGACTGGCGAATTTCCACAACATTTTTTGCAGAACAGTAAATTTTTAAAAATGTTCTGCAGACTGGCAACGTTTTAAAACATTTTTTCTCTCTCAAAAAAGATACTTCATGGCACAAATTGGAAAAGTAAGGTATAGTGGAAAATCTTTAAAATTTAGAAAGGTTGGCTTCAGCAAAAATGTGTCAGAATGAAATTCAAAATTTGTTTAATCAAGTCAAAATTTGTCTGAAGTGTTATAACAAGAAAACCCAACTTTTACTCTTCAGAAGATAATTTCAACTGCAATTGTCTTGCAAAAATTTCAGATTAAGATACTGCCACGTCCTTCATCAATAGTTTTTTATAATTTTATTATGCTTGAGAAAATTTCCTGCGAACCGGCAGAAATACTTCCACGGACCGGTGGTGGTCCGCGGACCATGGGTTGGGGAACACTCATGTAACAACATACATTTTTGGCATGAAAATAATAATCGTACTGTACCTGGGATCAAATTGCAAGTCAAAGTGACATAACCACAGTTTTTCTGGAAGAATTTCTGGGTCACAGGAACCTTGTTGAGCATAACCTTGCCTCGTCGCGCACCTTGAGCCCGACGTGAAATGCTTTCCAGTAAAGCCCGCTTTCCGCTGCCTGCACACACGAAAAAAGTCGTAAATTTACTGCCAGCATTTTTTTTCGGGTCAAAACTTAAACATCAAAATACATGCATTTACGCTTGCAATGCTGTGAAGGTGTAGAATAGAAACAATTACCTTTCGAGCCCAAGATTGCCATCACCTCTCCGGAATGAATTTCGAAAGACACGTCTCGCAAAATCACGTCAGTTCGGACGCTCCCCACCATCTTCTGGAACCATGTCCCCGGCTCCACCTTCAAAAAAAAGAGAAAACAAATCGTGATTATAGACACAATTTAAATTAAATTACACATAATTCAGATAAATCAGATTTATGATGAGTGAGTCAGATAGATACAAGCTGTATTTGCTTCTTGTATTGCATACAACACAGTCGAACCCTGATAAGAGGCCATCATTTGTCGATATTTAGAGAGCTTTTGGCAGTTTATCGAAGAGTTCATTATTAAATTATTTGAATCAAAATTATTCAAATTTCCTTTTAAAAAAAGCAAAAATAAGTGTTTCTAGAAACTTGAGAAAATGTTCGATCAACGAACTGGGAAAAATTGCTGTGAAAATCGAAGTCCACAAGTGAGATTTGTTTTAGAATTTTGAGTGCTGCATGAACACGTATACTTTAATGAGATCAAATATGCTGATGTGCATAACTGATTCTTGTTCGAGAACATTTTTTTAGGCCTCGCTAAAATTTGTTTGAAGGTTCATACATGGGATATGTTTGAGTTTAACGAATTTTTTGTCTTTGGTCCTTATCAGCAGCTACTTTCTTTATAGCATGATATGCAATATGATGTATTTTACTGCGCTTTGCATACGTAACTGCTCACTCACTACTGTATAGACTTTTGGTAGACGGATTTTTTCAAGAAAACCGAGCTACTTGAGGTGTCATTGTACAACATTTTATGTTCTACGAATAAGCTTCAAGCACTCTGGAGCGGCCAGACTCTCTGTAGTGTCTCGAGCTCGTCCATTAGTGACGGGTCGTAAAGCTAACGCAGCGGTTAGACTTGTTAAATGATTCTGACTGTGGGCTTACAACATGTCATGTGTTGAGTCTTTTTATAAAAAGGCACCAACATAGGAAGAAAAGGAAACAATTCTTACAAGAGGATCCACAAGGCTAACACATCTTCTTTCAGGCACGGAACCAGTGACCATTCCGATCAACGCCCGGACATGGACTGTGAAACCATGGGAGAGAGTCTGGCCAAGTGGGAAGGTGTGTGGAGAGAGATGTGAGACAGAAAGGTCGGCTGGCCGCCCCCAACTGCACTTTTATTTTCAGTTTTCTCGAGGTGGTTGGCGGGCGCCACTTGAGTCCCTTTTTCTGTCTCTGTCTCTCCCCTGGGCATGTAAGGATGAGTCGGATATTCACCCTGTTCTGTCTTCCTATTTTTCTTGTTTTAGACTGCCCTATCACACTCTCTCTGCCTGCTTGCCCCTGCGAGAGCTCAGTTTAGGAGGGGATCTGTAAGTCACAAGGGAGGGGGAGGAAGAGACTTGTCCATGCGCATTACGTCATACGGGGTGCTTAAAAAATGGATGCTGCAGGTTTGTGTTTACACAAGACTGAAAAGAATTTCAGGAAATATCATGTCATACGATTGTTTTTCCTCTGCATTTATTCTACTATCTCGCATGGAATAAGTGAAGAAATATTTTGGTTTGTAAAGTCTATGCCAACTGGTGACTTCTGAAGTAAAAAAAAGTAATCTGTATCTCCATAAGACCATAGTATTTATACTCTGATAACATAGATACATATATTCTTCTCTCCGTTGTTTCAAGTTACATATTAGGATCATGAGCACTATTTTGTCTCTCCTTGGCCATCTGATGACTTCTATGAAATACATGTACAGTACATTTTCGTCAAATTTTTAACAGGTATATATGTTTCCTTGTCCTATTTCTTGATAGTACAGTATTGCATGAGCTCATCCTCCACTTTTCCATAGCATGTTGACTTCATCATTTGGCACATATATCTTGTGAATATAGCAAAGACATGCCTCATGGCTGATATTCCCCATGGAGCGCGTGTTAAAAATGTTTGCCCTTTTTTCCACCATCTGCCAATTTCTGGAAAACATACGTATACTGTATACAAAGTACAGTACTGTACTTTAAGATTCTATATAGACCTACGTATTTCATTATATGACTTACTTTTTATTTTTTTCAAATTTTTATCTTATTTTGGACACCTGGGAATTCTATAAAAAGTGTGCATGCTTTCATAAATGTTTGATAAGCTCTTTTTTCTGTCTTTCCGAATTTACCTGGGATACTTGAGTGAAATTGTTTGACCACCTGGTGACTTATAGGAGGAGGGAGAACACTTCCCTCCAGGGCATCACTGCACAACATGTAATTGTGAAGCCCTTGAATTCCCCTGCGGGCATAAACACGGCACTGAGTTCAAATGCTGACTTGGATCTGGCGTACTGTACAGATGTCTGCGGCTCACGGTCATTGCAGCGTAGTTCCCAACTTGAGTATTTGTCTGAATCGAATTTCACTTCTCTGACCAGTACAAGTGATGTATATTCGTGCTCCAATAAAAAAGGGACACTTAACCATGGACCAAAATCTCAATTCACTGTGAAGAAGAAAAAGGGTTCTTGATACCTCGTAATTTAAATTGAGCCAACTGATTTCCCTCAATATCATTCATAAATTTCGAAATTATGGAAATAGAAGGTTGTCGCATGACATCCGATGGAAAACACCCTCCAGTTTCAGTTCTTGGTTTCACAAATTAAATTTCTACCTTAAATCATATTTCCTCTTTAAACGCATAGATAAACAGTTGGACGTTCCCCATGTAGTGGCGCCCGTAAAAGCGGACCGCCTCAAGACAAACAGTCGGGGGGCGGCCAGCCAAGCTTTCTGTCTCACATCTCTCTCCCCACACCTTCCCACTTTGCCAGACTCTCTCCCGTAGTTTCACAGTCCACGTCCGGGCGTTGATCGCAATGGTCACGGAATTTGTGCTTCAGAAAAGGACGCGTGTTAGCCTTGTGGATCCTCTTGTAAGAATTGTTTCCTTTTCTTCCCCAGAACTAAGTTGGTGCCTTTTTTATAAAATCTGAGTTGTGTACTGTACTGTACAACATTCGGGTGTCAGTCTTAGTAAATTGTTCAGATTGAGACGCAATCGAAATGCTGGGCAGTGATTATACCTGCTCGAGCTCTGTGATCTGTCTCAGACCGGCGAGGTGAGTGCTTGAAGCCTATTCGTAGAACAGGAAATGTCGTACAATGACACCTGAAGTATAGCTCAGTTTTCTTGAAAAGATCCGTCTACCAAAAGTCTGTAGTGAATGAGTACAGTTCCGTATGCAAAGCTCAGTAAAATACCCCGTATTGCATATCATGCTAAAAGAAAAAGTAGCTGATGGGGCCAGAAGACAAACAAAATTGTTACCTATATAACACAATGTAAGGAGTCTTGACTATACCACAACAACGAGTCTGAAACACTGCAGATTTGAATGACACATTCTTGACGAAGGTCATTTGTCAAGACCAGCAGTCAACCACCCCTTTATTGTGTATTGCAATCATTTATGAGTAGTTTAGTAAAGCTTTGTCCTGGCAGCAGAAAGAGTGCCTGTGGGGTCCACTTATTCCGAGTGAGCTCTCAAAAATGCATTTATGGCATTGTATCAGCAGTGAAGTACAGTATTCCATTCAAAAAGTGCGCATGCACAAGTACCATGCGCCTTTTCCAGCAATTAAATCTAACAGACCAAATTTTGTGACGTATTCTGATGCCCAGGTTCTATCAGAGATTTGGCTTGATTTTAAAAAAATGCTGACATCATTGCCTGGATGTTTTGAGTTAGAATAATGTAATTCTGGAGGAAAAATAAAATTAAAGTGTATGCCTTTCTAATATGTATGGCTGTATATATTGTTCATGCATATCGCAATCCAGCAGCAATTTACTGGGATTGAAACTCCGAAAACGTTTCTGTCGAACCAAATGCTTCTAATGGAAATTTGGTTTGATTTACTTCAAAATGTAGGCATCATACCTTGGATTACTGGAGATAGAATCATATAATTATAGAGGTTAAGTAATATGAAAGTTTATGTACAGTATTTGAAAAATACAGTTAAGCCTCAATAACTTGAACCTACTCAAGCCAAATTTTCATCAAGTCCCCGTCTGTATTCCCTATGGAACAATGCATTAAAAACGTCTTTAACTCAAAGGCTTTTCCTCTCAAACGTTGGTAACACAAATTGTCTGAGGCCTTTTGCCTATTTTTTGTTGGCACAGAAAAGTGATAAGCAAGAAAAAGTAACTTGATTTGTATTGAAAGGAATTGAACGACTAATGGTGCAAATGAACCCTTGTCCCCAAGTTCAGCATCCTACCAACTCATTTAAAAAGTAATTCAAGCTCCAGAATATCACTAATCACAATTTCCCCAAATTATTTTATTTTCTCCATAACACAAATTCTTGATTCCCTGACTCAAAACCTCCCTTATTCGATTTTTTGTGGTCCCTTGAAATTTGACTTAAAGAGGTTCGACTGTAACTTATGACCTTGAATTTTTATTGAGTGAATTTTTTATACTGATGATTTTGTTCACTTCTGCTGAAAACAATATTCAAAAAGAAAACACGCCCGATTTTTTTGTACTCGTGGAGCATTTCTGTAGCAATTCCATGAAAAAAACCCCTCATCAGACTGGTTTTTCTTTCATGCTTCGTTAGTTTGATCGATCATCGCTTAACCAAATGTCTTTCAAGTCCGGGAAACTGCGTAATTACTGAATAAGTACCCGGAATTGCGGAAAACATTTAATTATTAGACAGACCGCACTGTTTTTTAATGCTTGATGTATTACAAAAAAGTACTTCGGTAATGAGCCAAGAAAGTTTGTACTCTTTCTCTCGAGAGATTTTCTCACGATCGGCTCATTTCCTCATTTGAGATTGTATAGGTGTCTATGAGAGAATTTTTCGACAAACGTTGTGATTTAATATAATGATGCAGAAAGAAGCTCCATGGTAGGTGTAAGGCAAACGTTGTTTTTTTTTTTACAGAGGAAAATGAACTTTACAAGCAATCCACGTGATTTAAACAATGGTTGTAAATGTATTTTGCAAATTTTCGATTGTTGCAGATGATGATGCAATTACTCTCCCAGGGGAGAGTAATTTTCCTCTTGAAATGTGTTATACTGTAATATTTTAATAAAAAGTTATGTGTGAAAGAATCGGTTCTGAATTTCTGTGGAAAATTAAAATACATTTTAGCATTTTCCATTTTTCTAAATTTTCAAATATCTTGAAGAAATTTAGTTTTTTACATTCACAAATACTGTACAGTTGAACCTTGATAAGTCAAATACTTCCCTGAGTCATTTTTTTTTTTCAATTCCCACTCTGAATTCCCTTAAAAGCAATGCATTAAAACCTCCCTAACTCAAAGTCTATTTCTCTAAAATCTTCGTAAGTCAAATTTTCTGATGCCTCTTGGTTATTATTTTTTGAAATATAAAAGAGAAAAACAATAAGACAAAAGAGTTTATGAATCTTCAACAGAAATGGAAGACTAATTGAGCAATTGAACCCCTCCATCCAAGTTCAGCATGCTGTAAACTCATTAAAGAGCAATTTGAAGTCCAGAATATCTTTATTTATAATTTACCAAAATATGTTCATGTTCCCTTAAGAAAAAAATGCTTGTTTCTACAACTATCAACCTCTCAGAATCAAAACCTACCCAAGACACATTTTTGTTTGCTGGTCCCTTGGAATTCAACTTGGAGAGGTTTGAATTTAATAAATAGAAATTTAATTCTAAAATTACCTCAATTCATAATCAAAAACAGGCTAATATTGTGCTCCTTTTTTCATTTTTTATCATGTGTGCTTGGCAGAGAAAAGTTTCTACTTGCTGTTTGACTCCTGATATCAATCTTCTGCCAAAATATCAGATTCTGTGTGTTTCTCTTCTGCACAGTTACAGTATCTTCTGTATCTTGAAGGAAACAATTTTCATTCAATTTTGGGTAAACTTTTTCTTAATTATTGATTTACAGGAAGAACCAATTAAAAATATTCCCATTGAAGTCTCTGGGAAAAAAAGTTCCAACATATGGACATACCGAGCACCAATTATGTCCGCATGT